CATGAACTTATAGGCCCATTGTCTGCCAACCCTATATATGATCTTGGATACACTCTCCATTTAGACATACCTAATTGTTTAGCTTGTTCCCGAGGTGGTTAATCTTTACAGAAGTAGACTGCATCATCTTTCGTCCTTGGGTTTGAACCGCCAATCTTCTGGTTAGCAGTCAAATACCTTAGGCATTGCTTCACCAGAGTTCCTTCTACCCAGAATACTGTCATTTGGCAAGCTAAATCCAACTTTTAAGTCATCTAGGGCCTTATTACCTTTGAGGGGGGCCCCCTGACTTCTCAACGTGCCTTAAGAGTTTAGGCTCTGGAAACAGATGGCATGAGTTCAAATCAACACTCAGTCACTTCTTACCTCCATAACCTTGGAGAGGTTACTGAATTTTTCTCTGACTCAGTTTCCTTATATATAAAATGGGGAACACAACAGCACCAATCTCCTTAGGGTCATGATGAGGATAAAATGAATTCATCTACCAGAAGGTCCCAGAACAAGAACATCACCTCGCCAACAGTGAGCACTCCGGCATGTTAGCAGTTACTACTAAGGCAGCTCTGGTGGTGTAGTGCCTAAGGCATTTCACTGCTAACCAGAAGACTGGCGGTTCAAACCCACCAGCCACTGCTCGGAAGGAAGACTAGGCAATCTACTTCCGTAGAGATACCGCCTCGGAAATCCAAGGAGGAGTCTCTATGAGTCGGGAGCAGCGAGTTTAGTTTTTTGTTATTGTTGTTGTTGGTAAGCCTGCTGCTCCGCAGATTGCTTAGTTGTTTCAGCCTCGCTAATCTGGCACTGAATGGACGTTCCATAAAGGTTTGTAGACCTTAACTGTCTCCAGTCTAGATCTGAACCGCGCTCCCCTCCAATCCTATCCTCCACCATACAGGAAATACTCTTTGAAGCCGAAAGAATAACTCCCCGTCCTCTGTGCTGCTCACCACCACCCCACCCCCACACGGGCATAATGGGACACCATCAGACGCCTGGGCCCTGCCAGGCCTAACAGACCCCAAACCAGCCTCAACACCGCGCCATCAGACTCCAGTCTTCCCGGGGCTCCTTTTCCCGGTCCTTCTCCCACCAGATCCTGCTCCCCTCCACGTTCCATCAGACCCCGGGCTCTGAGGCCGTCTCCCCCCCGCAGGGCCCGGCAGCTGACCGGTCCTGGAGCTGGAGATCGGGTCGCTCCCGCGGCTCCTCGTAGAAGGTGATGCCCGGGTGCGTGGCAAGGGCCCGCCACAGAAACTCCTGCGTGTAGGGCTCCAAAGGCAGCGGAAAAGGCGGCACTCGCGTCTCCAGACGGCTCCAGAGTGCGGGCAGACACAGGCCATCGAGCCCCTCCAGGGCCACCTCGTCCAACAACGACTCCAGCGCGTCCATTGCTACTTCTGTTGGCAACGCCCTGGGCGCCTGCGCACCACGATGCCAAGGGCCCCACGCCACTGCGCCTGCGCATATCAATCGGCGGCCCTGGGAGGCGGTTCGGACCGGAAGATGTGAGGAGGAGCTCCAGCGCGCCCGCCTGACGTCACTCCCTTTGGGGTAGGGCTCAGTCTGTGGAGCTCCACCACCATTGGTCCGGAGCCCCGCAGTAACCAGGGGAACTGCAAACAGTGTAGGGGCCACTTCCGGTTCGAGCACCCGGAACCGCCGCCTCTAGGGATGGACGGTGAGTGTCTGTGCGCCCCTCCGAGAAGTTGGACGGTTATTTTTTTTCATCCCTCCCGATGCCGCCCTGGGCAGAATCCTTGTCATAGAACTCTGGACCACCACTGTCCGACTCTGATGGTCCACGACCTATAGGAGGGAAGGCTTTGTGGTCCGGGATTGGGAGAAGAGGCTAGGGGGAGTGGTCAGTTGTATGGCCACTGTGCCATGCTATGGCAATGTGTTGTTGTTGTTTGCCGTGGAGTCGACCCCGACTCATAGCGACCCCTCCTTGGGTTTCCGAGGCAGTATCACTACGGAAGTAGGATTGCTCAACCTTCCTTCAACCTGGTAATGGCAGGGTCTTCAGTGAGGGGTTTCGGGAGGATCTTTTGTTTCTGAAGTGTAAGTGGTTACAAATGTCCTGGGATGTGGAATTGTGGGATCTGGGAATTAGTATATGAGCTCTGGTGGCGTAGTGCCTAAGGCATTTGCCTGCTAACCAGAAGGCTGGCGGTTCAAACCCACCAGCCACTCCTCGGAAGGAAGGTTGGGCAATCTACTTCCGTAGAGATACCGCCTTGGAAACGCAGGGAGGGGTCGCTATGAATCGGATCCGAGTCGACGGCAGTGAGTTTGGTTTTTGGTTTTAGGACTAAGGAATCCTCCCTTTCTCCTCTTTGGTGTTAATAATAGCTCACATGAACAGAGCATGTTAAGTGCCAGGAACTCCCCAAGCGTTGTCAGGCAACGTCTGTGGAAGCCTTTGAGGCCAGGGTTGTTATGCCCATCTTACAAATGAGAAAATTGAGGCTCAGAGAAATTAAGTAACTTACCCAAAGCCACATAGCCAGCAAGTGGCAGAGTAAGGAACCCAGACACTCTGGCTCTGGAGCTGAATTATGGAAACTGAGATTTGGAGGTTGCAAATGCACCTATCTGCAGACGCAAGTCTAGTGGGCTGGGTTGGACTGTGACTAACTGAAAATCAGTTCCTTGTCTAAAAGAGAAGCTGCTCACTCAGCTCCAACCAGTTGTCTTCATGGTATTCTTGGGAAAACACCATAAAGGCAAATCAGATTGCAGGCCAGACACAGCCTACGGGCCACTCACTAGTTAGGAATCCCCTGATTTAGGATTACGGGATTGATGATTGGAATCAATCTAAAGATTTTTTTAAAAAATTGACGTTTCGTCTCTTCGGACTCATAGTGACCCTATCGGAAAGATTAGAACTGCCCCATAGGGTTTCCAAGGTTGTGATCTTTGCGGGAAGGAGCTCTGGTGGCACAGTGGTTAAGGTATTCAGCTGCTAACCAAGAAGTTGATGGTTGGAACCCACCCGCCACTCTGCAGGAGAAAGATGAGGCACCCTGCTTCTGTAAAGATTTACAGCCTTGGAAATCCTGTGGGGCAGTTCTACTCTGTCCTAGAGGGTCACTGTGAGTCAGAATCTGCTGTAAGGCAGACTTGGTTTTCGTGTTTTGAAATCTTTATGGGAGCGCACTGCCTCGTCTTTCTCCTGTGGAGCCCCTGGTGGGTGTAAGCTGCTAACCTTAATCTAAAAATAGATTACTCTAATGTCTCATTTTGGGAGCTCTGGTAGCATAGTGGCTAAGACACTTGACTGCTAACCAGAAGGCTGGCGGTTCAAACCCACCAGCCACTCCTCGGAAGGAAGGT